GACAGACAGACTGAGAGAGACAGACAGACAGACAGACACAGAAACAGACAGACACCCACGGACATAGAAAGCGAGCAGCGAAAAATGTAAATAAAGACCAAAATGAGACCCACATTTAACAAGGCAAGAGAGTTGGGTCTGCATTAGCGTTGTTTTCGCCAGGTCCGCTAACGTGTCGACAAACCACGTGACAGGTAATCAAGCTCCTGTTGTTTGCTCGTTAAGTCGCTGTTCGTCAGGCGTGGAGTTCGGCCGCTGCGTCAGTTTTCGTTTGGGGTTCTCTCGATATTTTCTTTTTGTTTTCGTCAAGAATTGGAAGATGGTGTTTTTTCTATTAGGGAGAGGGAAGGAGGAAGGGAGGGTGGGAGAGAGGGAGACAGGGAGACAGGGAGAGATGGAGGGAGGGAGAGAGGGAGGGAGGGAGAAAGGGAGAGAGGGAGAGAGGGAGGAAGGGAGGGAGGGAGAGAGGGATGGAGAGGGAAAGAGAGAGACAGAAACAAAGTCAGAAACAGTGATAGTGATAGAGATGAAGCCAGAGGCAGACAAGCATACAGACTAACGGAGACAAGAGAGAGATTTCTAATGTTCTAATTTCCCCCGCTCCCTTCCCCCTATTTTAACTAAATTACCGGCGCTGAGTTCACGAGTATATTTATTCCCCCGGTCCTCTCACTTCGTCATTTACCTCTTCCTCTTCGTTTTCCTTCACGATATTGCATTTTTTTTTTTCGCGTCTAATCTCCCTTGGCCTCCGCACCTGTGCTCGACCTTCAAGGACTCCTCATACCTGCAATATTTTCAACTTTTTTCTACTTCCGGGTTGTAAAATTCATCTTGTGGACAGTCATTAAGATCTTTTGGTATGCTCTCTTAGTCTTTGTATTCTTGGTTTTCATGTTTTTCTTTTCTAATCCACTTTTTTTCTCTCTCTCTCTTTCTCTTAGATATGTTAATTAAAGTCTCTGTTTTCCCGTGTCACCGTGTGGTGTTTATTATTAAATCTTTCCCATTTAAAAAAAAATCTTGAAATTCGTTAAATTATGCGAAGATATTCGATATGAAATTAATTCCCGATAGGCGAAATGAGAAAGAAAACTGATCTTCCAAAACAAAAGACGAGCTGAATCATGCAATCGAACGCCTTAAATGCTCTCGAGCTAATGCGTCTCGATACTCCAAGTATATTTCAGTCGCCTTTGGAAATAGCATTTGATCCGAAAAGTGGCAAAAGTCGCTCAGCTATACCTCGATTACGCCGGCTGTCTCTAAATATATATTTTTACGACTTAAAACCGATTTTTTTTTCCGCCGCCGTGCCTGAGCAAACTCGGTTGCCACTTCCCATTTCTTTATACATTCTTTCTGTGCGGGGGAGTTGTTTCATTCTATATTCTCTCATCTCTCGCGCCTTTTCGGCTCGACTATCTCTCTCTTTTTTTTCTTGTTTCTGTTTCCTTTATTTACCCCGTCTCTCTCTCTCTCTCTCTCTCTTTCTCTCACTCTCTCTCTCTCTCTCTCTTTCTCTCTCTCCCTCTCTCTCTCTCTCTCTCTCTCTCTCTCTCTCTCTCTCTCTCTCTCTCTCTCTCTCTCTCTCTCTCTCTCTCTCTCTCTCTCTCTCTCTCTCTCTCCCCCTCCCCCCTCTCCCTCTCTCTCTCCCTCTCCCTCTCCCTCTCCCTCTCCCTCTCTCCCTCTCCCTCTCCCCCTCTCCCTCTCCCTCTCCTCTCCCTCTCTCCCTCTCCCTCTCCCTCTCTCTAGATGACGTTGTTTTTCAGTTCATCACCACCATGCCTGTCAACACCACCATCATCATTATTACTGTAATTGTCTGTAACATTATCACTATCTTTCGTGTATAATGGTTTAGGTTACCGTGCCTTGCGTGTTCTGTTTCCGGCTCTCCCTTATGTATCTGCCATCTATGCACAGGTTACATAAAAGTTGCAGAAATAATATATATATATATATATATATATATATATATATATATATATATATATATATTTATATATATGTACACACACACACACACACACACACACACACACACACACACACACACACACACATATATATATATATATATATATATATATATATATATATATATATAAACACAAGCAGATACCACACACACACACACACACACACACACACACACACACACACACACACACACACACACACACACACACACACACACACACACACACACACACACACATCACCGCGTTTCAGCAATAGCTATTGATTCAAAACATGAAACAGTTCGGAGGCAATTTATACCGGCAAGAAGCGCCAGGAATCCCCCAAAACCTGGAGGAGCAATACTTCTTGCCTCCTCGCCGGTATTCCAATATATTCTCCCCGGGGGCAAGACACCTCAGCGGCTTCTTCATATTCCCACGTTTTCTTTCTGAGGCGAGAGGCTGTCTTTTAATCCTGCTGATTGCCTAGTCGCCGGGCTCTGAGATGGGGAACGAAAGGAGGCGAAGGAAGGGAG